AGTGCTGTGGCATCACAGCTCACAGCAACCTCCAACTCCTGGGTTTAGGTGATTCTCTTGCCTCAGCCTCCCGAGTAGCTGGGACTACAGGTGACCACCACAGTGCCCAGCTATTTTTTGTTGTAGTTTGGCCAGGGCCGGGTTTGAACCTGCCACCCTCGGTATACGGGGCCGGCGCCCTACACTCACTGAGCCACGGTACCGCCCTTACATTTTCAATTATAGTACCAATTCTTCTAAAAAGAGTTTTTCCTGATTTTATAGTTGTTTTCCCAGGGTACTTAATAATTGTGTAGTGATGGGTATATATAATTCATAATATGTTAGTTTACCACTATCATCTTGTCTCCATACCTTAACATTCTCAGTAGTCCAGGGTGATGGACCAAAGGCAATTCACACAGTTAATGATCTGGTCAGTGCAGGACTGGAAGTACATTTTAGTATTTAAATTTCTCAGTTTCTTATTGACTTTTGTTACTCAGGGTTAAAGCAGCTAATGTGAAACTCAAAATACCTATTTGTTTCATTTGTTTTGGGGAATACTATTAATTTTAATAGCATTCTACAGAAGAGGTTCAGTGTCCAAGGGAAGAAACATTGGAGACAAATATGGAGATAAAATCAACTGAACAGAAAAGGTAAGGGGGAAAAAGTATGCAAGTAATTACAACTGGTTTGGTGACTTCAATGAAGCTTTACCTTTTTTTCTCAAAATTTATAATACATATTTTGTGGTGGTGGTAGTGGTGTGTTTGTAGTGAAATTGTTACTTCAGTTTATAGTTTAGTAAAAAGTTATTTTTAGTAAACATTATGCTTCTAAGTCTTGAATTAGAATGAAATAAATATTGTTATCTAAAAATTGCTTTTATTCTCTCATCACCATATCAGCCTTCTCAAAATAAAATGAAGTTATAAGTAGACCAAAGTTTGTTCAACTGCTAATTAGGAATTACTTTTCTGTACTGATTCCATTTTTATTGAATCAAATAAAAAAACATTATCAATCACAATATATGTATAATTTTTCACTGTTGGGATGTGATTACTGTATACTATCCATTAGGGCTATGATGTACATATACTTTGCTGGCTACCTTATTATTGCTTTAAGGAAAGCTGATGGCAGTTTTCATTTGTTGCGGTTTGGACATGATTTGTTAATTTTTTTAATTTTAGGAGTTTTAGAGTTTTAAGAATTAGCTTGGACAAGAGAGGCACCATAATTAGATTTTCTTTCTGTTTTTCCATACACATATTTTGTTTAGCTTTTCTGTAGATAATTAACAAAAAGAATACATTTGCTATTAGATACCTTCATAAATAATACAGACATTTCTATTTGTAAAAACTAGCCTATATAGTTACAGACATGACAGTGGACTCTTTAGTGTTCTGAGCCTGCCTCTTCCATGTGAAATTTAGGTCTCAACTAATCTCATGTCCCCTTGTTTTAGATTTTATTGTTTTCATTGCTGAGCAGTCAGTAGTATTTAATTTCTGTGTTAAGTCGTCCAGATATATTTTCTGCTTTTGTTTGAATCTGTTACTAATTGCTATGGAGACAGACATAAACAGATTATAATTATGAGCTAAGCATTATAGAGGATTAGAAGATCTTTAGACTCTAAGATGGCTGAGGATTAGATCTCCTATATTTTAGGTAATGCAAAGAATATCTTGCTTTCTAATCACTCATTAATTTTTATTTACAGTATGATCGAAGACTTTTCCAATCCTGAACATACCACTCCTCATTCATTTTGTGTAGATACAAGTTCAGAAATTTCTAGGTAAGAATTTTTGCCTACTGTACCATTTTGAAATAGTTGTGTTTTACAAATATGTAAGAGAATGAAAAAATACCTACTGTACCATTGTGAAATAATTGCTGATTTTTTTTTTTACTAAAAACTAAGAAAATAAATGAAAGCAACACCAAGCATTGAAAGAACAACATAGGCACACATTTCTACATGTTTAATTATTGAAAGAGTTTCCACTAACTGTTATGTTTTAAAACATACAGGAAGTATGTTAAAAGTCTTTTCTGAAAAAAGTAGTAGATATATTATTGAATGATAATGGAGTTGTTGCTCATTTTCAGCTTCTAACTAATTTCTTATTGTATTTAGAATGCTTTTAATTCTCTCATAGAACAAATTTACCCAGTTTTGTCTTTTGAATTTCTTTTACAGAGGTTGAACAGAGTACTTAGTGTTTATTAAAAATGGAGGAAAATATATCACAGCTTTACTTTAGAAAAATTTTGCATAATTAGAATCAACCTCCTTGCTACTCATTGAAGGCAAAACTCAATAACCAAAAAAATAGCTGAGTGTTGTGGCGGGTGCCTATAGTCCCAGCTACTTGGGAGGCTGAGGCAAGAGAATCACTTAAGCCCCAAATTTTGAGGTTGCTGTGAATTGTGACGCCACGGCACTCTTTCCAGGGTGACAGCTTGAGACTCTTGTCTCAAAACAAACAAACAAAATAGGCAGATCAATTGTAATACCTGTTTTTCGTGGATTTGCCAAATATAGTTTTGTTATTGAGCTCAACAGATACTTGATAAAAGGCAAATATTATTGGTGAATGGGAATGAGTATAAGCCCAAATAAACCTAAATGTGATTTAATATGTGCTTTTCTTTTTAGAAACAATCATTAATTTATTTGAATCTGATAATTGCTTGTTTCTTATTTAGTATACAAAATTTATTTGCTTAGTAAACTTTGAGTACTTTCTATGTTTAAGGAATCATCCCCTAACAACCATTTCATTTCAAAAAATCCCATTATTGGGCTCACACCTGTAATCCCAGCACTTGGAGCCCAAGGCTGGTAGATTGCCTGAGTTCACAGGTTCGAGATCAGTCTGAGCCAGAGCGAGAGCCCGTCCCAAAAATAGCCAGGTGTTGTGGCAGGTGCCTATAGTTCCAGCTACTGGGGGGGCGGAGCCAAGAGAATCGCTTAAACCCAAGTTTGAGGTTGCTTTGAGCTATGACGCTACAGCACTCTATGGAGGGCAACAAAGTGAAACGCTGTCTCAAAAAAAAAAAAGACATTTATAATAGCTAAAAACTTAAGTGAATGGAAATGTTCATTAACTGTAAGAGGATAAGTAAATTGTAGGATATGCATATCCAGGCAATGGGATACTATTCTGTACTAAAAAGGAACAAACTATTGATATATGCAGCAATATAAATAAACTTCAGCAGCATTAATTATAGAGAAAGTAGACACAAAATGCTACATATTGAATGATTCTATTTGTATGAAATTCTAGAACAGGTGAAACTATAAGTAGAAGAGTTTTCAAGTTGCCAAAAATTGACAGCAGAGGCATGAGGAAACTTCCTAGAAGATAAAAATATTCCTTATCATTCTTATGATAATGGTTTTATCACTATATATGAGATCATACCCTTAAAGTTGCTGAATCAGGTGGTGCCTGTAGCTCAGTGGGTAGGGCACCAGCCACATACACCCAGGCTGGTGGATTCCAACCCAGCCTGGGCCAGCTAAACAACAATGACAACTGCAACAAAAAATAGCCAGGCACTATGGCAGGCACCTGTAGTCCCAGCTACTTGGGAGGCTGAACCAAGAAAATCACTTAAGCCTAAGAGTTTGAGGTTGCTGTGAGCTGTGATGTCATGGCATTCTACTAAGGGCAACTTAGTGAGACTGTCTCAAAAAGAAAAAAAAAAAAATTGCTGAATCATACACTTAAAATCACTGGATTTTATGTAAATTATACCTAAATAAAATTAACAAAAGCTTCAAACAAAAACCCAAAGAACTTTCTTTGATCTTTAATTTTTATTTATAAATAAAACCTTTTTTGTTAAGGTTTATTATAAATTTAAATTCTATGTCTTATTTGACAATGAAATGTTTTAGGTACTGTTATTTCACATTTAGTGATGATAAGATAGTTTGCTCTAATGATCCTAGAACTGAACATTTCTTTAAACTCATTCTTTCCCTAGAGGCTTTTTCTTAACTGTATTCTGGATCATTAGTTTTGATCAAAAACTTATTCCTAATTCAAATTATAAAATCTGTACAGTTAATCAGAATAATTGTATGGGTTTTAAATTCAGATGCCTATAAGGAGCAAGCAAGTGAAATAAATGTCACCCCCTCTGGGTTGTTAACACCACAGAAAGGGGCCCATTACCAACCAGACAGTACATGTCCTTTAATAATGGTATTAGCTGAAAATTTTTGTTGATGACAAACATGTCTAGTGGCTGGTGAGTACTAAAGAGATAGGCTTAGTGTTTAGATTTCCTGAAAGTACCAGAATAACCTTTAAATTAAGAAATAAGTGGGATAAAAATATTGGGATATCCAATTTGGTTTTTGTTGATTAATGTGTGTTTTTTATTTAAATGCGTTCTACATAGTGCACCGATTTCTACACTTAAAGACAAGTCTTCAGTTCCACCTGTGGTATCAAGTGGAGTCAATGTTGCTTCACAGACAAGTGTTCCAACACCTCAGGAGACCCAGAGAAATGAACATAGAGCTCAATTACCAGATTCTGCAGATTCTGTTAGGCAAATGCTCCAAGATGAAATGTTTAAATTAGTTCAGGTGAGCACATCTCTGTATAAATAAGTAAACCTACACATGTTATATGTAAGGTTTTAAAATATTAACAAACTTTCAAAAATGGACAAGTTAAAATTAAATTGCAACCATTTCTCTGCTTTGGGGACTCTTAGCATTCAAAAGTTGGTAATTTTTCAGACTGATGAGGTGGTTCATACCTATAATCCCAGCACAGTACTTTAGGAGATCAGTGTGGGAAGATCACTTGAGACCAGGAGTTTGAGAGCAGCCTGGGCCAAATAATGAGACCCTGTTTCTATAAAAAAAAATTTTAAATTAGCTAGGCATGGTGGCATGCACTTGTAGTCCTAGCTACCTGGGAAGCTTAGGTAAGAGGATTTTTTGAATATAGGGATTCCAGGCTGCAGTGAACTGTGATCATGCCATTGCACTTCAGCCTGGCAACAGAGTGAGACCTTGTCTCAAATAAACTTTTTTCATAACTCTAGGACGAGAATCTAGCCTAAGCTCCCTATTTACTTCTCACAATGACTTTTTTTATACTAGATTCTTTAGGATACAGTTGCTCAAAGTGATGTATTGACAGTAATCAAACCAGACCAGCAAAGTCTTACCCAAAAGTGTCCAAAGTTTAAATTTTCTAAACCAGGCTGTCACATCATATTTTTTTATCCATAGACCAAATGTGATCTTGAGTTGAAACGGTCAGCTGCATTTTAAATTACTGTTTACTTTGACTTCTATCATCTTTTCTTGCCTGGCTATCCTTTTTTCTGCCTACCAGTGATTTTTAATTATGTCCCTTTTCTTTTTTATCCTTGAAACATTAATTTCCCTCAAATCTAATTCTCTGCTCATTTGTTCTACATTTCCTTCCATATCCCTTTATGTGATGTAATGTACCATTTTTATATTGGTGATTCTTGGCACTGATTCTCTCTTTGAACTTATATGCCCTGATGAGAATACTTTTTTAGCATGTCCCCTGTCCCATGAAATTTATTGTCACTGATTTTATTCTTATTCTTTCCATCTCTTCCTTTCTCTTTTCTATTTAATAAAACCACTCATCTGTCAGCTTAAGGTTTGAGAAACATGTCTCAAACTGTGTTTCGTGAATTACCTGAGGACTTTTTTGGTCATTGTGTATATTTAACAAGTTCTCCAAATAATTCTGATGCACACAAAAGATTAAAAATTACTATCTTAAGGCTGGGCATAGTGGTGCATGCCTGTAATCCTAGCACTCTGGGAGGCTGAGACAGGTGGATTGCTTGAGCTCAGGAGTTTGAGACCAGCCTGACCAAGAGTGAGACCCTATCTTTACTAAAATAGAAAAACTACATGGGTGTGGTGATGAGCACCTGTAGTCCCAGCTACTTCAGAGGCTGAGGCAAGAGAATCCCTCAAACCCAAAAGTTTTAGGTTGCTATGGGCTATGATCTCATGGCACTCTACTCAAGGTTACAGAGTAAGACTCTGTCTCAAAAACAAGAATGACTCAAGAATGAGAAAAAACAGAAAAAAGAATCACTATCTTGGACAGTCACCTTTGCCTTCTTTTCATTACTCTTACGAAGTGTTTTACTAAGTTCTTTTGATTCCTTTACCCATACTGTATCATTATAGCCATTTGCTGTTTCTACAGCTACAGCAAATCTTAGATTCTTAGTATTTCATGCTTTCATTGTCTTACATAAGCATTTTATAGGATACTGTCTTCAGATATTATTTTAATACTATTCTTCTGTTTTAAAATCTTCAGTAAATTTCAGGTACAAATTTATATACTATATGATATCCTGTTTTAAAAGTATAAAGAATGAAAGGAAATAAACTAAAATGTCAGTATTGGTTATCTTTGAGGGGAGGATTATGAATATTTATTTTATTTTTAACCTTCCATTATTTATAGTAAATGTATATTTCTTTTTATTTATTTATTTATTTACTTTGAGACAGAGTCTCACTATGTTGCCGTAGGTAGACTGCCATGGCATCACAGCTCACAGCAACCTCAAACTCTTGGAGTGAAGCAATTCTCTTGCTTCAGCCTCCCAAGTAGCTGGGAGTATGGGCGCCCGCCACAATGCCTGACTTTTTTTTTTTTTTTTTTTTGGTTGGAATTGTCATTGTTGTTTAGCAGGCCCAGGCAGGGTTCGAACCCACCAGCCTCATTGTATGGGCTGGTGCCCTACTCACTGAGCTATGGGCCCCAAGCCATATATTTCGTTTATAATTGAATAGAAACTATACTTTTTAAACCTGGATTGTTTCTCTGTTGGTTTCTTTTATCAAGTACAAATTCTTCAAAGACCCCACTACTAGCCTTTACTTTCCCTCCTTTCCTATGTTACTCTCACAAGTCCAGTTTTTCTCAAAGTGTGATCCCTGACCAGTAGCATCTATTGTCACTTAGGCCTTGGAAATACAAATTCTCAGGCCCCCATCCCAGACCTGTTGAATCGGAAACTCTTTCGATGAAGCTCAGCAGAGAGTGGTTTAACAAATCCACTGGATGATTCTGATTTTTGCTGAAGTTTGAAAACCTCCCCACAAGCCTGTTTTCTCAGTATCCCTGCTTTAAAAATTCCCTCTTCTAGCTAAGCCAGTGTGTATGCTAGTGGGTCCCAAGCTTTTCTGCATGTCATCTTAGTGAATACTGATCCTGGCTCCCATTCCCAGACAGTCTGATGTTATTGGAATAGGATAGGATCTGGCCATTGGGACTTTCTAAATACTTCTCAGATGATTCTAATGTGCAGCAAAATTTGGAACCAATGGTATCTGTTCTTGTCTTTCACCCAGCCAGTTCTTCCAAGGGAATCCTTTACTCTTCACTTATGTATCAATCTCTGATCTTTTCTTCCCTAAAAACTTTTCAGAACACACTTATTCTGGGTCTTCTTTAGTTATCCCACTCCATTAGATCATTCTTTATGATCCTTGGGTTGTTTATGTAAACTGGTTTAAAAATTGTTGCAAGTCTCATTCTTGAGTCAGTGTTCATATGCTTATTGACATGAAACTTTGCTTTTTTTCCTTTCTCTTTTCAAAAATCTGTCTTCACTATGCCTCCTGCTCAGCATTCATGAGTCTGATAGATGCTGAGTCAAAGGTATGACTATTGTAAAATACTCAGATGGTTGTTGTTGATTCCTTAGATTCTTTTCATTATATTTTAAGATATCTCTTAATTTTTGTTCTAGCTACAGCAGATCAACTTCATGAGCCTAATGCAGATAGTAGGATCATCCTTTGCTAACATCCCAGATGTACATCAACTTCTACAGCAGTCCCAGTCTGTGCATTTAGGGGGAAGCCAAGTACCAAACCCCACAGGAGGGTGTGGTGATGTTGAAGATAGCAGCAGAAATCTTGAGAAATTTTTCATTAAACCACAATCCATGGGAGAGTACAAAAGAGAGCCTGACAAGAACAGCCCCCACTACCATGAAGAAATTACCCAATCTGGTCAAACTAGTAATGGACATTTACAGGTAATACATATAAAAATGCAATGTCCTAGTAGTTCAATCAGTGCTTTTTTTTTTTTTGGTCATTTGAGTAAATAACTATTTTATCATATTCTATCCCCTCTACAGCATATTGGACACCAATTACAAAAGAAGAAATTTCTAATACATTCTAAACTTACATAGTATCTTTTTCTCTTTCAGAATGTTCCACATGGATGTATGCCTTTATGTCAATTAGATGGCCAACCTAAAAAGAGAGGACTAACTGCAACATCTCAAAACTCACCTTTCCCTTCATTTTCTCCAACTGTTGCTGGAAATACTCATCTCTGTCTTTTGTCTACGCCATCTGTTGTTCAGAAGACACCTAGACTTATCCCAGCTGCAAAAACTTTTAGTCCTAGTGATTGTTTTCCTTTGCTTCAATTTCAGCCTAAGCATGAATTCAAGCCTCTTTCCTTACATACAGGAAGAGTTCCACAGATTCCCTTCAGACCTCTGCCAAAACCAAGAGAGGCTTGGGGATTATCTGATTCCTGCCAGCCTGCTCTGCCACAGAAAGAAATACATACTACTTCAATATCCCATTTAAATTTAAGTCAATATAATATTGAAGTCATAAAAAAGACAGTTGAGCAGAAGAAATGGGCAGAAGGTGAAATTATAGAAATTCCTAAGCATGTGAACTTGGATCAGTATGTTGGACAAGAAAACCTGACACCTCAACAGGACTCTTCAATATTTATAAAGCCAGAAAAAATATTTGATAATAAGCCAGGGCCCCTGGAAATATCTCCTCATAATTCCTTTGGACTTCCATTATTACACTTGCAACTTAAACCTCCTCATACATTTTCATCAACCTCAAGAGTATCAGTTATAGCTCCTTCAATACCTGTTAGAACTGCAGCAGAAGAAAGAAAATACCCAAAACTATCATTACTTCATTCATGTCTATCCCCAGAAAATATGGTAATGAATTTAAATAGAGTCCTGCTTTTTTTATGCCAAAGTACTATATAGTCAGTGAGAAGCTCTTGTATGTTTTTTAGAATACTGCTTTTATAGAAAATACCATATAAAATCAGGTTTAAAATAATAATTGTGGGCCAGGCACAGTGGCTCATGCCTATAATTCTAGCGCTGAGGGAGGCCAAGGCAGGAGGATTGTTTGAACTCAGGAATTATAGACCAGACTGAGCAAGAGTGGTCTTTACTAAAAATAGAAAAATTAGCCGGGTGTGGTGGTATACACTTTTAGTTCCAGCTTCTTGAGAGGCTGAGACAAGAGGATCACTTGACCCAAGGACTTAGAGGTTGCAGTGAGCTGTGATGATATCACTGCACTGTAGCTCTGGGCAACAAGAGTGATATTCTATCTCAAAAAAAAAAAAAATTCAAGGTCTTTATGTCCTGGCATCCTGCCTGTTTCAAATCACTTTTTAAATTAAATGCCAGACATAATACCATTTTTAAGAAGGAAGATCTTTAGTATGAAAATGAAATTAAGACGATGAGGACTTGTTGCTTAATTGCTGAAATAGGATGACCCAGTTTAAACTTTCTGTACTCAGAAATCACTTTTAGTTTAAGATACGGAGGCTCATCTGTCAGTTCAAGTCAGTTTGTTATGCTTGATTTGTTCTGTCTTTTCTACATTTTAGTCCAATTTAACCAAATCTTTTTTTCTCAACTTTTTAACATATTGCATAATTGAGTTTATAGTTTGTCATTGTCCTTTGTTTCTTTCCTATAGCATAAAAAACCGCAACTCATCCCACTTGAAAACCTCATCGCATTCCAACAAAGACAACAGAAACTAACACATGATTTATTTGAACAAGGTGATTCTGGGCATCTTCAACTACTAAAGATCAAAATAGAGCCATCTGAAGTAAGACAAGGAAAGGACAGTAAAAAAAGGCAAGTTTTTTTTTTTTTTTTTTTTTTGAGACAGAGCCTCAAACTGTCCCCCTGGGTTAAATGCCGTGGCATCACAGCTCACAGCAACCTCCAACTCCTGGGCTCAAGCGAGTCTCCTGCCTCTGCCTGCCAAGTAGCTGGGACCACAGACACCCACCACAATGCCTGGCTATTTTTTTTTGGTTGCAGCCATCATTGTTGTTTGGCGGGCCCGGGCTGGATTTGAACCCACCACCTTAGGTGTATGTGGCTGGCGCCTTAGCCACTTGAGCCACAGGCGCCAAGCCAAAAGGCAAGTTTTAAATGAAATTTTATTTGATAATATGTGCCAGCAAGTTTATTATTATTTATAATCATATCATCAGAAGAATGGAAGTCATCTGGTTTAGTCCCTTAGCTTATACACAATTGCATATTCAATTTCCTTGTCAAATGTCATATTGGTGTTATTATAATAGTAAAAGTATATTTTATGCTGTTGGGTTTAACAGGCAGAGAAGAAGATCTGAGAAAGAGTCACAAGAAAAAAGATCAGAGAAACTAAGGAGAAAACCAAATGTGACTTTTCGACCAGAGGATTCCATCATTAATAATGACGATACAGAAATCATTAAGCAACCCAAGGTAGAGAACAACTATTATAGATTCTTTTTTGATTTGTATGTACACAGAGTTTAATATGTCTTTGTGGTTTATCTAGTCTGATTGCTGGAAGGTTCAGATTATGATTAGGAGGATCATTTAATACATCAATTCCTGCTTTTCTCTCCACAGAACTGTTGTGAATTTCAAAAGCAACTGATGGCAAATCAAAAACTGAAGTTAAGGGTGTCTGCCTGTGTGAATTTTTAGTATTTGAAATAACTCTTTGCTTTTTTTGGTGAAATCTTAACACACATAGTATGTTAGATGGGCTTTTGTTATTGCATTTTCACCTAGCTCTGAGATTCCTCTAGGATTTCCTATAGATGTGTTATGTAATCTGTATTTTAAGTCTGATCTTTTAAAATATATCTTCTAAATTCAATGGCTATTTAGCTATTTTTGCAACAACAGATTAAACAGAAGCATTTTTGTTTACATTCATTTTTTTTAAAGGCATACTTTTTCAGTAACTCCTCAAGAGCATGTCTGGTGGCACTTAGTAAAAATGTTGAATCCATGAAAGATTCTGATAGGATGGGGATACTATGTGAGTATCAAATCTATTCCGAGGGGCTGGGTGTGGTGGCTCACACCTGTAATCCTAGCACCGTGGGGGGCCAAAGTAGGCGGATCATTTGGGTTCGAGACCAGCCTGAGCAGGAGCAAGACCCGACCTCTAAAAATAGCCAGGTGTTGTGGTGGGTGCATGTAGTCCCAGCTCTTTGGAAGGCTGAGGTAAGAAGATTGCTTAAGCTCAAGAATTTGAGGTTGTTGTGAGCTGTGATGCCATGGCGCTGTACCCAGGGCAACAGAGTGAGACTGTTTTAAAAAAAAAAAAGCCATTCTGTGGTAAAGGATTGCACATAATAACTTAATACCAGTTTATATTAAATTGGTATTAATACCAATTTACCAATTTATGTTAAATTGACAATGCTCTTTTTTTGTTTGTTTGTTTTTTGCAGTTTTTGGCTGGGATTGGATTTGAACCCACCATCTCCGGTATAGGTATATGGAGCTGGTGCCTTACTCCTTTGAGCCACAGGTGCCACCCTTTTTTTTTTTTTTTTTTTTTTGAGACAGAGCCTCAATCTGTCACCCTGGGTAGAGCGCTGTGGCATCACAGCTCACAGCAAACTCTAGCTCTTGGGCTTAGCATCATTGTTTGGCAGGCCCAGGCTGGATTTGAACCTGCCAGCTTGGGTGTATGTGGCTAGCACCTTAGCCTCTTGAGCCACAGGCACCGAGCTGGTAATGCTCTTTTTTTATTATTTAACTTGTGAATACCATGAACTCTTTTGTAGAGTTACTGTGATAGAGTAAATGATTTGATAGAATAATTAATTATGCCTAGAATGATAGAAATAGGACCTGTACCTAAGAATTCAACAATCTTCATAGCTATTGAATATTTTTTCCAAAATAATAAATGTCTTTGAGTTAATCATAGATTAATCATTTGGTAATTCATTTAGGAAGAACAAAAACATCATGATTCCCAGTCTTTGGTTGACTTTGACATTCCTTTTGGTATGTATATATGTGATTAATGTAATGTCTAATTTCAGAGTTACAATTAGCTTTCTAGAAATATATGCAGTATAAAAATGAGACTAAATTATTTTCATGTTATCTTTGACAAGATGGTGTGGGTGTTTGTGTCTGTGTCTGTGTCTGTGTTTTGATGTGATTTTCAATAGAGCAATGGTTGCAGATGAAGTATAACTGGTAGGCCAGATCTAGACTATGCCCATTTTTATAAATTAAGTTTTATTTAAGTACCCATACCAGTTTGTCTATATTGTCTATGACCACTTTCACACTGCAGAGCCTAATGTATTTACTAACTGGCCTTTCAAAGAAAAAGTTTTTTGACCACAGTAGAGAAATGTGATTAATTAGAATCTCAAATAATATATGTGAGATCTAAAAGAAACTTATGAAAGAATATGCCTAGGATTGAATTCATCATAGAAAATGCATGCACATTAAAAATAAAGGAATTAGCTCAAAAAAGAGAACTGATTTATAGATAGTAAATTATTTCCCCTCTTGAACTGGTCAGTTTATTTCTTGCCCATTGAAATATATGTATTCCCTAAATCTTTTTCCTCAGCAATTTTCCCTCCCTCCCTTCCTTCCTTCCTCTTCAACTCACTCTTGTGCTTAGAGGGCCATTCATTCTTTTTTATTTTTGAGACAGCCTCAAACTATCGCCCTGGGTAGAGTGTTGTGGCATCACAGCTCACAGCAACCTCCAACTCCTGGGCTCAAGCAATTCTGCCTCTGCCTTCCAAGTAGCTGGGACTACAGGCACCTGCCACAACGCCTGGTTATTTTTTGGTTGCAGCCATCATTGTTGTTTGGTGCACCTGGGCTGGATTCGAACCTGCCAGCTCAGGTGTAAGTGGCTAGCGCCTTAGCTGCTTGAGCCATAGGTGCCAAGCCTTTTTTTCTTTTTGTGACAGAATCTCACTATGTCGCCCTGGGTAGAGTGCCGTGGTGTCATAGCTCACAGCAACCTCAAACTCTTGGGCTTAAGCAATTCTCTTGCCTAAACCTCCAAGTAACTGGGACTACAGGCACCCCATCACAATGCCCGGCTATTTTTTTGTTATAGTTGTCGTTGTTGTTTAGCAGGCCTGGCCCGGGCTGGCGTATATGTGGCTGGCGCCTTACTCACTGAGCTACGGGTGCTGAGGCAGGGCCATTCATTCTAATACTTCAGCCTATACATTTTTTCATGATACTCAGATATACTTATAGTCTCTCTCATCTTTCTTTACTACTGTGACCTTAAATTCAGCATGTCCAAATTTTAAATTTGTATGTGTGTCCCTATTAGTGATATCACCATTTTATTTATTTTTGCCTTGAAAGGCAAGCTCTATTCATTTAGTCCTTTCCCTGGTCCTTTGTTCCTTTTTCAGTGCCACTACCCTGCCATCAGGGCTTTGCTTGCCTATACCAAGTGGTCACCTGCTTAGCTTCAGTCTCTCTGCTTTCTAATCCATTTGCTCACTTGTCTTAAAACCACTTGATCTTTTTCACTCTCAGTAACATATTTTTTTCATTTTGTAACATTAATACATGATTATTGATGGAAATTTAGAAAATAGAAATAAAGAATAAGAGTATTAAGGGGGCAGTGCCTGTGGCTCAAAGGAGTAGGGCGCTGGCCCCATATGCCGGAGGTGGCGGGTTCAAACCCAGCCCCGGCCCAAAACTGCAAAAAAAAAGAAGAATATTAAAGTTGCCCATCATCTCTCTGTCGAGAGATAACCAGTCTTAATGTTCTTTCAGGCTTTGTTTTATGAATATTCCTAACATAAATATTTACAGATATATATGTGGAGTTATTCATCATATAAAGCAGTTCCTCCTGTTTTTTTTAATAACTTGATTTTACATACTAGTATTAAGATATTAGTATGGGACTACTGGTGTCCACCATAATGCCCAGCTATTTTTAGAGATGGGGTTTCGCTCTTGCTCAGGCTGGTCTCAAACTTCTGAGCTCGGGTGATCCTCCTGCCTTGGCCTCCCGGAGTACTGGGATTATAGGCATGAGCCACTGTGCCTGGCCTTATATTATTTTTAATGATGGCATACTACTGTAGTGGATATGTGTTGTATCATTTCAAACAACAGCAGTTCTCCAATTATTCAAAACCAACTTGATATCTTACAATATAACTTCATTATGACTCTAATTACTTAAAGTTAGCACACATCCCACAGGTTAAGGGCTTAGTTCTATAATGTCTGCTCCACTTAAGTGCCAGCTGCAAATAGGGTCATCAGCCTACTTGCATTTCTGCCTAGATTACTATAGTTTGGGGGATTCCTTTGATCTGCTGTCCCAACTCAAGTTGGATAACTGACTAGAATGACTCAGAACTTGGGAAAATACTTGCCATTACAATTACCTTATAAAGGTTAAAACTCAGAAACAGTCAAATGGAAGAAGTGCATAGGGCAAGGTAGAGGTAGGGAGGCTCTCTGGACAGGCCACTCTCCTAGCACGTCTGTATAGTCACCAACTTGGACTTCCCCTTAACCTCTTTGCTTCAGAATTTTTTTGAAGTTTCAGTACATAGGTATAATTGACTAAATCACTGGCCACTGTGATTGAACTCTAGCCTCCCTTTTCCAGAAGTAGGAGTAGAGTGGGTGAGCTGGGTACTGATAGTTGTAACCCTCTAATTATGTGGTTGCTTCCCCTGGTGACCAGGCCCATCTCGAAGCTATCTAGGGGACTGTTAGGAGTCACCTCATTACCATAAACTTAGATGTGCTCAAAAGGGGCTTATTATGAATAACACAAGACAATCCCATCACTCAGGAAATTCTGGGGATCTAAGGAACTCTGGTCTGGGAACTGGGTACAGAGACCAAATATGTATATTTATTACACCACCACAGGCCATCATTGGTATTCCTTTGTTCTACCTCATCATCCTGGATGATTTTCCAGGAAAATCCACATCTAAAACCAAACTCTCATAATAGACTTTGGGCTTTGATTCTACTTTCCACTTGGGTAGAAATTACCTCAAGTACAGCATGTGAAGTGTGAATTCATTATCTCTACCTTGCCCCAACTGATTTTTTCCCCTGTGTTCCCTATCTCCTTTTGTATTATTCTGATTTCTGCCTTTGCTCTTTTTCTCTTATCCAGTCAGTGACCAGGTCTTGCTTATTTTACCTCCTTTATAATTCTTAAACTTATCCTTTCTTCTCTTTCCCTTACATACTTAAATTGCTATAGTATCTTCATCTAACTGATAGCCTTGCTTCAGTTTTTCTACTTGAATCTCTTTTCCATACAATGGCTGGGTAATTTTTCTAGAGCATCAGTCTGACCATATCATTTCTCAACTTAACAGCTTCTGCTGGATCTTAAATTAGCCAGAAGAATATCTAGATTTATACACTAGGCATACAAAACCCTCCACAATTTTTGTTTTGATTCTACCATGTCTTTGAGATTCCATTTATGTACCACCTCATTCAGAAAGAGGTAACATTTGTTACCATTTTGGTAACATTCTAACACCCCATGTTTCACCTCCCTTGAGTTAGATACTATGCTTCTGGGATCTCAGTAACATGTTTGCTTCTCAATGATCACTTCCAATGTTTCATTATATTTAAGAAATGCTACAAGATGACCTTAATACTTCAGCTGGATTGCATTTCATGGCCTCTGTAAAAAAGAAAGCTGTAGAAAGTCAGGACGCAAGTACAAATACAGACCCAGGTAAAATGCTGTTTTTCTTCTTAAGAGAAAATTGTATATTTTGACATATTTAAAATATCTAGATTTTTTTCTTAAGGCAGTGATTCCAAAGGAATTTTAAATTATGTGGTACTGGTGACGCATCCCTGGTTTTTCTCCTCACACTTGTTATATACTTTAGATGTTGAATTTATGATAACTTAAGTAAAACATAATAGAGATTTTTGTTCAGAACTGCCACGACTATATCCAAAGTAAGTAGAAATAATTTTTTGAATTTGGATTCTCTGTGCCATTAATTATCTTCAGTAGAATCATATGCCTGAAATTGAGGGGCCTGGCACTGGCTGGTGAAATTGAACTAGGAAGAGGAGTGGATTGGGTTTAATGTGGAAAGGCTATGTAACTGTGTCCAAAAGTAGAGGAAATAAGTATTGAAGTATCTTATTTCAAATGTTGCCTGACAAACTTTCATTAATGTAGCTAATCAATGTAAACAGTGTCTTGAATAGTATTCTGCTAATCGTATCATAGTAATTTTTAAATGACTTTTAGTAAAGTTTCATTTGTGTTCAGAACCTTCTAAGTGCTCTTTTAACCCTTTCTAATCCTTCTAAGTGCTCTTTTAACCCTTTATAATTTTATCTTATTGTAAAATAACATTTATTGGTATTATTTTAAAAATAATATATGACCATTGTGGACTATTTGGATAACATTAGTAGCAGCAAGTGTGAAGATGAAAACCACAATTGGCCAGGTGTGATGGCTCCCGCCTGTAATCCTAGTACTCTGGGAAGCTGAGATGGGTGGGTCACTTGAGCTCAGAACTTCCAGTTCAAGACCAACCTGAGTAACAGTAAGACCCCATTTCTACTAAAAATAGAAAAACTAGCCAGGCATTATGGCAGATGCCTTTAGTCACAGCTTCTGAGGAGGCTGAGGCAGGAGACTTGCTTGAATCCAAGAGTTCGAGGTTGTTGTGAGCTATGACATCAGGACATTCTACCAGGGTGACAGAGTGAGACTCTGTCTAAAAAAAAGAAAAGAAAATTTAACCATAATCATGACACTTTGAAGTAACATTTTGATATTATTTTTTCTTTCAGTCTTCTTTTGTACATTTTACATAGTTAAATGTACCATATGGTATGGATATGTCCTGGCTTACTATCTGAACCCTCATCATCCAGATGTTATTGCTGTTTTCCCTAGCTTTACCTGAAAGTTTAATCTTCATGGATCTCAGTGTTGTTTTTTTCCAAGTGCCTTGGGACATTCTGAAATTAGAGTGTATCTTTAACATTATTTCGTTGGTCATTTGTTTCATAGTACAAGTTTACTGCTGTGTTGTAGTTAATATCTAATATGTTCAGTATTACATATTGCATGCAGATGAATGAATTAAATGAATGTTTATTAAAAAGTCGTTTTAAAATGCTTTTGTATTATGTAGTAGTCCTTAATGGATTGTTTTTGTGTGTTGAAGAGTTGTTTAATGATATTTGGGAAAATTGGACAGGCAGGGACATCTTTTTCCCCCCTTTTGAAATACCATGTTTCCCGAAAATAAGACCTTCCCCCAAAATAAGCCCTAGTAGGATTTCCATGCATTTGTTAAATATAAGCCCTACCCTGATAATAAGACCTAGGGATGGGCGTGGCTATGTAGCGTATCTGCATAGCCATGCCATGCATTTCAGTGTGAGTGTAAGGAAGACTGGAATACCTTTTATCTGCCAAAGCTCCTTTCTTTGAGCCATTTACACTTGTATGGGTGTGCATGTGGTAACTGCTGTCGTAGGCATCCTATTGTGTATGTGTGAACGGCTAGGGGAAAGGAGTTTATGCATTACACTAGCACCAGCCCCACCAACAAGGTCAGCTCCCCTGTCAGGTTCCAGAAGAGGATGACTTAACTGTATTTGAAAAATGTAGATTGTTGTATTATACTTAATAAAAATAAAACATCTTCTGAAAATAAGCCCTAGTGTGTCTTTTGAGAAAAAAATAAATATAAGACAGTGTCTTATTTTGGGGGAAACATGATAATATAATAAAGTCTATCCAAATCTGAAAATTCACTATCCAGCACGTTTGTGGGAGTGGATTAGATTTGGATAAGGATACCTGTATTTTCTATGCAGTTTGTTTCACTTTAAATACTATTTATGTCAAATATTTCTTGTGTCATCAAAAAAGTACTTTGTTAACATATTTATTTTTCCAGCTGTGCCATAAAGTATTAAATTAATTCTTTATTGTTAAATGCGTTAGGCAGTTTCCAATTTTCTCTCTCTCTCTCTTTTTTTTTTTTTTTTTGAGACAGAGTCTTACTATGTTGCCCTCTGTAGATTTCTATGGTGTCATAGCTTACAGCAATCTCAAACTCTTAGGCTTAAGTGATTCTCTTCCTTAACCCCCCAAGTAGCTGGGGGCGCCCACCACAATGCTTAGCTATTTTTTGGATGCAGTTGTTGTTTAGCTGGCCCAGCCAGATTTGAACCCACCAACCTTGGTGTATGTAGCTGGCGCCCCCATGGCTGAGTTACAGGTGCCAAGCCTAATTTATGTTTCTTTCTAATTGTGGTTAAGCATGTGTATGATTTTTTTAATGAAATGATGAGTGTACATATGAGAAATATTCTTAAATGTTCATAATCTCAGCATGTCTTTGAGAAGGCCTTGGAGGTACTTTGCCTTTGCTGTGGAATAATTTTCGAAAAGTTGGCAGGCTATTTGCTAGGGTCTGTTATTCATCTAAGTGAAGACCAGGATATACATAATAAAACCTGAAATTATGTTAATTATTTCAAAATGAAATTGTTAAGCTGTCAATGTACTTTCTACTTACCACACTTTATGCACAATATCTAATTATCTGTGTTTTTCATATACATATATATACTTATATACGTATAATATATATTTTTATATATACTTATACAAATATACTATATACATATTTTATATATAAATATACAATATATATATTTTTATATGTACTTATGTATGTACTATATATATATTTTATATATATATATATATTTTTTTTTTTTTTTTTGAGACAGTCTGAAGCTGTAACCCTAGGTAGAGTGCCATGGTGTCATAGCTCACAGCAACCCCAATCCTGTTGCCTCAGTTTTTCTATTTTTAGTAGAAACTGGGTCTCACTTTTGCTCAGGCTGGTCTCAAACTTACAAGCTTAAGCAGTCCACCCACCTCAGCCTCCCAGAGTGCTAGGATTACAGATATAAGCCACTGTGCCAGGCCTGTTCATATGTTTTTATTTATATTTAATATTTTTGTTTTTCTTATATTTGTGAAATTTGTTTTCTGTTTTCTCTTTTTGCCTTATATTTCCTAATGTACTGCAAGATAAGGAAGCTGGTTCTCAAGAAGTTGTTTCTAAATGTAGTGAAAATCAACAAATCATTTCTTACATAAGAGGTATGTATGATTTCTTTCATTTTCCCTGAGAACAGTTTGACTTATTAAATATTACAACTTCACAGTGCCAGAGCTAGAGTCACCATCCCTCCATAGATGAACAGATAAAACAGGCTTGGTGCCCGTAGCTCAGTGATTAGGGTACCAGCCCCAGTTCAAACTCAGCCCAGGCCTGCTAAACAATAATGACAACTACAGCAAAAAAATAACCAGGTATTGTAGCAGGAACTTGTAGTCCCAGCTACTTGGGAAGCTGAGGCAAGAGAATCATTTAAGCCCAAGAGTTTGAAGTTGCTGTGAGCTGTGATGCCACAGCACTCTACTGAGGGCAACGTAATGAGATTCTGTCTCAAAAAAAAAAATAATAAAATAAAATAAAATGCTAGAAAATAAGAATAGAACAAAAGGTACAGTGTTAAACTGCATACCTATCATAGGAGGCCTGTTTATTTTCCTAATGAATAAGAAGCAAACAACTTGGCTTGGTGCCTATGGCTCAAGTGGCTAAGTGCCAGCCACATACACTTAAGGTGGCAGGTTCGAATCCAGCCCGGCCCACCAAACAACAATGGTGGCTGCAACCAAAAAATAGCCGAGTGTTGTGGTGGGCACCTGTGATCCCAGCTACTTGGGAGGCTGAGGCAGGAGACTTGCTTGAGCCCAGGAGTTGGAGGTTGCTGTGAGCTGTGATGCTATGGGGCACTCTAGCCAGGGGGAACAGCTTGAGGCTCTGCTTCAAAAAAAAAAGAAGCAAACAACTTTTGTGAAATTTAGATGTTAAGACATTTTAGGGGGTAAAATTTAATTGTGGGCTCTTTGAGTATACTATAAGCCATTGATGATAACCTTTGAAGAGTGTGAATTTATCTCAACAAAGCTATTAATAAAAATAACCTATTGAAAATTTTAAAAATTGGTGATACATTAATTTCTTAAAATCAGACTTTATTGAAATTCTTATAAATAAGATAGACAAACATGACTTAACATTTATGAAATGGAAATAGGAGATTGTAACATTTTCTTGATATACAGACTTTATTTTTCTCCTGAATCATTTATACGAGAAAAGCAGTAGTCAGCCTGTGTTTTATTATGAGTTGTTCTTAGAATAGAATTTGCTTTTATTTATACCGACAACACTTCTAGTTAGATTTTTGTGAAATACATTTTACATTGTTTCTTGGTAACCTATTCACACAAGGTTAATGATTTAGAGCTTTTTACAGACATTCTTTATGTTTATGTTCCTGATTTTTCCTTTCTTAATTTCAGAACATGAGCTGTCAAATGTTCCTCAACTGTTGGTTCCAGATATATATCTAAATCGCAAGCTTTCCCCTGAAATAGCAGAGAAAACTTTGCCACCTTCACCACCTCATACAGTAACAAATTTGGTTTGTGTTTCATTCAGAACTTTTAATAATACCTTAGTGCTAAAATGTACCATGGTCTTTCAGATATTATTTAATTGTAAAAGTAAAATGAGGTTCATTTATGGCCAGCTATGGCTTAGGTCTAGAGTTCTAGCACTCTGGGAGGCCAAGGTGGGTAAATTGCTTGAGCTCAGGAGTTGGAAACCAGCCTGAGCAAGAACAAGACCCTGTCTCTACTAAAAGAATGGAAAAATCAGCTGGGAGTGGTAGTAGGCACCTGTAGTCCTAGCTACTCAGGAGACTGAGGCAAGAGGATCACTTGAGTCCAGGAGTTTGAGATTACTATGGGCTATGATGCCACAGTACTCTGCTAAGAAGGACAAAGTGAGATTCTGTCTCAAAAAAAATAAAAAATTAAAATTAAAAATAAATTAAAATCTCATTTATGTAGCTTTATAGGTCAAAAAATTAATTTACATATTATGCCCCAGAATAATGTAAACTAAGGCCAGTAACACATACTTCCTTCAGCTTTCCCTAAATTAGATATATATAAGCTCTTTTTGCCTTATTATTAATAAGAATAAAGCACTAAATCTTTTTTTTTTTTTTTTGGCAGAATGACCCTATAGAGTAAAAAGAATATATCCCTTTTTGATTTTGTGTGTTTTGGCTCAGGTTGGACATACTTATATAAATGTGATTGACATTGAAGCAGATGATCTTGTACAGGAATTACCTGTCAGAGAAGAACCAAATGATAATGTTACCAATCAGCAAAGTGATCATCTAGAAGTTCCATCCTCTGCAGAGTTACATTATGTGGCGGCTTCAGTTACTAATGCTTTTCTCCCACATGATTTTAAGAATCAAGGTAATAATTTGTCCTACTTTTAAAATGAACACATTTTGAAAACTTCTTTAAATATTATTATCCCTTCTCACATCTCTTAGCTTTCTTCCTATAAGCCTACTGTACTTTTAGATATATATATATAATCACATTTAGAAATGTTCTATTAATCTTCTAATTATTATGTTGAGATGTTTAGAATTTATTTTTGTATGCCTTTCATATTCTTGATAGAATCTTCCAAATCTGCTATGGATTTATTTTTGAAACCTACAAAAGTGACTCCAGCCTGTATGGATGGGAAAAGCTGGAGAGCAAGCATAACAGAAGTGAAGGAGCCTAGTATCATCTCACCAACACCATTAGACATACAGCAGGACAAAGGTGAATGGCCAAGATGTGTAACATGACCTTCTCCTGAATTATTCTTATATTAGAAACAAGCATTAGCAAAATGTTAATTTGGCTGGGTGTAGTGGCTTCCATCTGGAATCCTAGCACAGGATGCCAGGAGTTCAAGACCAAACTGGGCAATAGGGAGACCTTGTCTCCCTATTATAGAAAATTTAGACAGGTGTGATGGTGTGTGTACTTGTAGTCCCAGCTACTCAGGGAGGTTGGGACAGGAGAATCACTTGAGCCTAGGAGTTTGAGGCTGCAGTGAGCGATGATGATGCCACTCTAATAGCCCAGGTGAGTGACAGAGCAATACCCTATCTTAAAAAAAACAAACATAAAAGACCAAAGTAATTGCAAAAGAATCCATTAAAAGATGTGTCCCTTGCTAAGGAGAGTTGCTGTAGGTAGCTAAATGAAAGTGAGCCATGATTCCAATGCTGGACCCATAAATATTTTGCAAAGAAACTACAGATCTATTTGTGCATATGTCTTTTCTTAGTTAATGATGATAAAAATAAATATCCTGTTCATAGTGTTTTGATGTTAAAAAAGAATTCTCTGAAAAGATGAGTAATTCTAGAAAAGCACAGAGAAAATACATAGGAATCACGGCCAACAGTACCTAACTGGAAAAATATTCAGTTTTATAGTCATAAACAGGTTGTACTATTGTAACTTTTTGTAAGATTTGGACTATTTCTCTACAACCTTAAGTTACTACATGCTGTGAATGGTTAAATTAATCCACTATGTGATCAGACTTACTGCAACAGAAACCTAATGTGTCTCCATACTTTTTGGGCTGCTTGGACCCAGCTGGCTTTGTGGGTGTGAGGTGCTTACATGTAGAGTCTGGCTCTGCCTGGTTATTCCTTATCAGTGGTCAGCACTGAGGAGATGGAGGATTGAGGAAGGGGCAAGTCGTAGGGAAACTAAACTTCACCTTGGGATGTGTTAGGGCATGTGTATTATGCCTGCATATACCAATAAGCGGCGGCATTTCAGAATTTTTTTTTTTTTTTGAGACAAAGCCTCAAGCTGTCACCCTGGGTAGAGTGCTGAGGCATCAAACCTCACAGCAACCTCCAACTCCTGGGCTTAAGTGATTTTCTTGCCTCAGCCTTCCCAGTAGCTGGGACTACAGGTGCCTACCACAATGTCTGGCCATTTTTTAGTTGTTTGACAGGGCCGGACCTGCCAGCTCTAGTGTATGGATGCGAACCCATCAGCTTTGGTGTATGTGGCTGGCGCCTTAACCACTTGAGCCACAGGCACCGAGCCAGCATTTCAGATTTTGAAGGCTTTGTGCTATCTCGCCTGTCCTGGGGCAGCTAAGGCACATAGGTAGTGGCGAGAGGACACCACTGTATGAAGCTTCACAGTCCTTCAGGCTGGGGAAGTGTATGGGGAATGTGAAAAGTGCTTGACTTTTAGATTCAAACAGACCAGACCTGGATTTCAATCCCAGATCTGTCACTTACTAGTTTACCGACTTTCTACAAGTAAATTAAATTTATTTGACCCTCACCTGTATCTCTGTGGGACTTAGCCTCTTGAGTTACCATGAGGTACATCTAGACAAAGGCCTGTGGCTGCTTGGGTATTCTGTTAGTTTCCCTTCATTTTCATACCAGTCTGGAGGCAAACCCATCTCCCTATGACCCCTGAGTATGTTAGGCCAGCATTTCAATGACCATAAGCTATGGGCTAATTTCCTTTATCAGTGAGATCAGGTCTATAATCAACCTTTTGGAGGATCCTTCCTTGGGGATACTGCCTGGTTGCAAAATATATCAGTGGACCCTTCTACTCTTATTATAGAGAAGAACTTTAAAATGGCAATTTTAAAAGAAAAGTTTTATATTATGAAATTAAATTTAATCACGATATTTTTAAGATATAAAGACTCAATATAGTCATACACATTAGTATTGAGTAGGATTTGCATTACAGTAATAGGCTGAGAGAAGTGAGGGACAGGGTCACAGGGTCTTTAAAACAAAAAACAAAACTAACAATGCATTACTGGTTTAATGAGACCTGCTCACTATTTTGAATGACAGTGGCTTCTTATTTTGGAAACCATCTCCCATTTTTTGTTTGTTTGTTTGTTTTTTGGCATGAGTGTAGTAACTTTATTTATTTATTTATTTTTGGAGACCATCTCCCATTATTAATAGCATCATTTACAGCAAGCAGGGTTTTGCTGGGCCCAGGAAGAGCGTTGCAGGGTCAGTGGCAGTTAGTCACCTCCTGCAAGGGTGACTCTCTTATTAGTCAGGAAGTTGAGCAGGTTCTCCAGAGAAGGGAAGGCTAGTTTTGTTATGTATTGAGGCCATTTTGGATTTTGAGTATGTCCATCTCTTTTGTTGTATTTTCTATTTGAAGTTCGTGTGCATTAAATTCTTTCTTGAGAGTGACTAAGGGAAATGCTTCTGGGTGCTGAGAAATAGGAAGCAGGGATAGATGGTGAAGTGCTGGGACAGCCAAGCTAAAACAGGTCAGGAAAAGACGATATAACTGCCATTGCCAGGACCGCCATTTACCATTGTTTTCTCATGGTAAGGTTCACCTTAGACTAGGACTGAAATATAACAAGCACTATTTTTATTTGTTTAGTAATTCACATTTTTCAGAGAACTTTGTTGCATAATTTGATTCTCAGAAAACTTCTATGAGTTAAGTAGGGCAGGAATCGTAATCTTCATTTGACTGAGTCTTCAATAACCCCTGAGTTAAGGACCAGACACTGGAGCTTAGAGGAAAGGAACACTAGGTGCTCAGCCTGTAGGCATGACTATGTGGGAAAGAGGAGACAGAAGAGACACTTATGGTACAGCTGGGTAACTTCTGCAGTGGTGGTGTGGATGAGACTCTTGGGTGATGTAACATCTAATCCATTTTAGGGGAGGACTGGGGCCATTTAGGAGAGACATCTAAATGGAATCTTAAGGGAAAGTAGGATTTAGCAAAAGGAAAAGAATTCAAACTGACATAAGAGATTGCTCAGTGACTGAGAGTATTGGAGCCTGATTACCTTGAGAAATTAAAACTCAGTAAGCTTGAAGTCAAAGGGAACATGTTTGTTGTTTATTTAAAGAAATAGCAAGAGATGCTACAGAAATAGGCAAAGGAAAGATTCTGTGTGCCACTGTCATACTGAAGGATTGGGATGTTTAAGGTGATGGCTTTGGAAAAATATTTAAGGGTTTTGGGCAGAAAAGAAACAATATTGAATTTGTATTTTAAAAAGATTTCTGTGGGCATGTGTGAATGGTGGACTAGATAGAGCAAAGACTAATTAGGGATACTGTTTGGGGTCCATCTGTTGTGAAAGCCTCAGCTAAGCAGTGATGTTTGGAATGGAGGTGTTTAAGAGGTAGACGTACCCTACTTGGTTGTATCTGAAGGAGAGAGAGGAACTTTGATTGACTTTAAGGCCCTTGGCTTGGGAAACTAGGTGAATGGAAGTGCTGTTCACTGAGCTTAGGAACAAGGAAGACGGAGCAAATTAGAGGGGCAGCAGTAATGAGTTTAGTTTCCTTTGCCTGTGGGACATCCTAACTGGGATATCCAGAACATAAGGAGCTGATTTCAGAGAGAATGCTGTGTGATTTAGGAGTCATCTGTGAATCTGTGATTTCACTCAGGGAGAGTGGGAAGACTGAGCAGAAAGTGAGCTGAGGTTGGCAGCCCAGGACATGCGGATGGCAAAAGGAGTGTGTAGCAGAAGACTGAGAAGGTTGAACAGCACAGGGAAGAGGAGACCCAGATGAAGAGTGCATTCAAAGTAGACGGTATCTCAAATCTGAGAAAAGAATCAACTGAGTTTAAGAGTAGGAAGAGTCATTGGCTTTGATACTGGTCTTGGGAGATTTTATTTTTTGAGACAGAATCTCAAGCTGTCACCCTGGGTAGAGTGCTGTGGTATCATAGCTCACGGCAACCTCTAATTCTTGGGCTCAAGCCATCCTCTTGCCTCAGTTTTTCTATTTTTAGTAGAGATGGGGTCTCACTTTTGCTCAGGCTGGTCTTGAACCTGTGAGCTCAAGCTATCCACTTGCGTCGGCCTCCCATCATGCTGTGATTTCAGACAGGTGTGAGTCACCATGCCCAGCTTTGGTCTTGGGAGATGTAATGTTTGCCCACATGAAGTCAGTAATAGCCAATATTGAGCCTCGCTTTTACTGTACAATGTTTTAGTTTTCAAATAGGGTTCCAAAAACTCATAAAGATATTAAAATTTCTTTCTGATGAAATATATGCTTGCAATAGAGAATAAAAATTCGAACTGTCTTGTGGAGCTTAGGGGTAGTAGTATTGTTAAGTATTCTTATATCTTATTCTTTTTTTTCTTTTTTAAGTTAAGCCATATTATTCTCTTTTTAAATTTTTTTTATTTTTTGCAGTTTTTGTCCAGGGCTGGGTTTGAACCTGCCCTCTGGTATAAGGGACTGCTCCTTCAGCCACAGGTGCCGCCCTATATCTTGTTCTTATGTCTTGCTCTGTTGCCTGGGTTGGAGTGCAGTGGCATAATTGTAGCTTACTCCAACCCCAAACTCCTGGGTTCAGTATTCTTTTACCTCAGGCTCCTGAGTAGCTGGGACTACAGGTGTCTACCACTATGCCTGCCTCATTTTTCTATTTTTTGTAGAGATGATGTCTTGCTCTTGCCTAGGGTAATCCCAAACTCCTGACAGCCTCAAGTGATTCTCCTGCCTTGGCCTCCCAGAGTGCAGGGATGACAGGCATGGGCCACTGCACCTGGACTTGTTATGTATTCTTATCTCATAATAAGGACAAATCTCAGAAATCAAGAAGCTGAAAGGAGTTTTCAAGTATTTTAAATTAAAACTGATTTGGGAAATAATGTTTTATTGGCTTTAAATGAAGTCACCAAATAAATGAGATCAGCAGTATATAACTTTCCCTTAATTTAATCTATTCCTATTTTACTTTAATTAATATTTAGATCTGCCAAAACCAGAGCTCCAAATCAAAGAAGAGAGCATCAAGTCTGACTCTGCAGAAGACTATCCACTGTGGGAACTGCTGCGGGATGTCGCTGCTGCTCGCCCTGCACCACGCATTACAGGTCACCGGCTAGAGCATCTCACCTCTAAGCTGCAGAAAATTGATGAACAGCTGTTAGCAATACAGACCATTGCTGAAAACATAGAGCAGGATTTCCCCAGGCCTGAAGTGCTATATCTACATCATGATAAGGTAGGCGCTCTTTATTTTGGCTTTTGTTGGTGAGTTATTAGATTTGTAGTATGATATAAATTTAGACACTTGATTTTTCAAAGTAATGAGAAATTTAGTTTCTTTAAGCTAGAGTTTCTCAACCTCAGCAGTTTGGGCTGGATAATTCTTAGTCGTGAGGGTGGTCCCACACATTGTAGCACATTTGACAGCATCTCTGCTCTTCTCTCAGTGGTTTCCAGTAGCTCTTGCTCCAGTTGGAATAATTAAAAATGTCTTCACATATTGCCACATGTCCCCTGGGAGCCAGAATCATCCCCAGTTGAGAACAACTGCCTTGAACTTTTAAAAAATAAACCTATGCTTTCTATCAGGAAAAGAAATAAATGAATTACAAAACTAATATGTGATTTTGGAGAAACCCTGCTTGTAATCAACTGTCATTTTCTTTGGAAAGATTTGCATGACTTTACAAATGTGATTGGCCTTATATTTGGGATTCTTCTCAGTTTCTTTTAAATGTTTTATATAAGAGGACTAATAATCAGTTGCTTAGAAATTTTCTGGGTGGCACCTATGGCTCAGTAGGTAGGGTGCCGGCTTCATATACCTAAAATGGCAGGTTCAAACCCGGCCCCAGCAAGCTAAAACAGCAATGACAACTGCAACAAAAAATGTCGGGCGTTCTGGTGGGTGCCTGTGGTCCCAGCTACTCGGGAGGCTGAGGCAAGAGAATCGCTTACACCCAAGAGTTGGAGGTTGCTGTGAGCTATGATGCCAGGGCCATGTACTGAGGGTGACAAAAGTGGGACTCTGTCTCAAAAAAAAAAAAAAAGAAATTTTCTGTATCTTAAATATTCACAGTAGCATTCTAGCCTGACAACAGATTGAGACCTCAAAAAATATATATTCATAATAAAAAAATTAATGTTTGTATGTAATGATAGGTAAAATGGTAGGAAAATCTCAAAAATTGCTTATTTTGAACAAACATTTTGTCCTTTTTTTAAGGAAGAAAATTTACATAATAAGGATTAAAGAACAAATAGTAAAAATATGTTAATTGTGTGAAAGTCCAATATTAGGAAATGCAAACTAGCCTGCAGCGTAGGAATTCCATTATTAACTTACCTGACAAATATCCAAGATGCTAGCATGTTGACATTTTAAAAGATATATTTATTTGGTTTATAGTATGTCTTTAATCCAAACATTGAACACATATTAAACAGTTAAGTTTAAGCCTATGTGAAAATACACTGAGAATATGCAGGCTAGGACCACTATTAAGTAATGAGATCATGGTGTTTATTTGGTGGTTTTGCTTTTTATTTTTTAAGTCAAACTTAGTTTTATTTTTTATTTTATTATTTTTATTTATTTATTTATTTTTTGAGACAGAGTCTCACTATGTTGCCCTTGGTAGAGTGCTGTGGTGTCATAGCTCACAGCAACTTCAAACTCTTGGGCTTAACTGATTCTCTTGCCTCAGCCTCCCAAATAGCTGGGACTACAGGTGCCCACCACAACACCTGGCTATTTTTTGGTTGCAGTTGTCATTGTTGTTTAGCATGCCCAGGCCAGGCTGGAACCCACCTCGGTGTATGTGGCCGGCACCCTACTCACTGAGCTGCAGGTGCTGAGCCTTATGTCAAACTTAGATCTGTCACATTTAAATTATTGTTCAGTAATCTTTGGTACTCTTTATTTCAAAGAACCTCTTGAAATTGTCTCCTAAGCTATTAATAATTTGGTAAGTAGTATATCTAAGCCAGATAGTTTACTTATACCTAAATGAAGTCTTTTGTTTATTTTTATTTATTTATTTATTTATTTGGAGACAGAGTCTCACTCAGTCATCCTGGTTAGAGGGCTGTGGTGTCATAGCTCACAGCAACCTCAGACTCTTGGGTTCAAGAGATTCTCATGTCTTAGCCTCCTAAGTTGCTGAGATTATAGGCACCTGCCACAACACCTAGCTATTTTTTGAGATGGAGTGTTGCTTTTGCTCAGACTGATCTCGAACTCATGAGCTCAGGCGATCCGCCTACTTTGGCCTCTGATGTAGTCTTTATGCTGGCTTACTCACTCTCACAAGAATCCTTAAGTGTTCTATAGCAGATATTTACTGAGCATCTATTACATGTTAGGCTCTGTGCTAAGTTCTGGGAATAGAAAAATGAATAAGAGATAGTACCTACTCTCCAAGAGCGTAGAATCTAATAAAAGAAGGTAGATCTATATACCAGTGAGTACTTTTGTACTAGGTGCAGTGAGGACACATAGGTGCTGTTGTTACTAGATGGGGTAAGTGAAGTTGTGGCATCAGAGAAGGATGTATAAAGGTGACTCTTAAGCATTTTGATAAGGAAGAGTTGAGAAAACATCGTGAGCAAAAGCAGAAAGGTGCCAAATAGCACAGAATGTTTGGGGACCTGTGTCAGCCTTAGTTAGAGGTAAAAGTTGGTGGAACTGGACTTTAACACATATGGCAGTAGAGGTAGTGAGGGGCCAGATGAAGATGGAAAGCATTGTTTGCTATGCCAAGCAATTAGGATTTTATCCTACCAGCAGGTGGTAGGAAACCATTAAAGAGTAAAAGTGGTGAAAGGATATGATCAGATGTGTTGGCACTAATGTGGAGGTTACCTTGGATAGGATAAGACTGGGAACATGTACCCCATGACAGTATTAATGTACACAGCTATGACTTAATAAAAAATAAAAAAATAAAAAGACTAGGAACATGGAAACCATGTGAGTTTCCAAACCTGGCTGCTCATTATAACTGTCTTGGAAGCTTGTTGGAAATGAAAACTCCTGTACCCTATTTCCCTGAAATTCTGATTTTAAGGGGTCTGGAGTAGAGTCCAGGAATCAGTATTATTAGCAAGCTTAGTAAATGATTCTTATCATGTATCTTATATGCTGCTAGCTCTTTATGAGGTCTGCTGATAGGTATTTGGGCTGCACTGCTTTCCCAAGGCAAGAAATACTAAGGTGCCTCAACTTTAGCGGTAGGACTGGAGGAAGGCTGTGACAAGATGTAGAGACTGATAGGCTGGGGGAAGGTGAAAACAACAACAAAGAGTCTTGGTGGTCTCTTTAGGTTGGGTGAGTGGTGGACCCATTTTCCAATCTAAGGAAGAAGAAGTGTGTCTGTGTGCACATGAGTACACATGTGTTGGAGGTATTTAACGTGTCTTTGACAGGTATTTAACATGTCAAGGACATGTTAAATTTGAGGTACTTTGACATGAAGGGGCAGTTGGATATCTGCTTCTGCAACTCAGGAAGTTCTGGGCTGAAGGTACAAATCTTGGAGTCATTAGTTGGGAGGAACTTCAAGTCATAGTAGTACAGGCTCTCACCCTGAGAGAGCGCACAGGGTGAGAAGAGGGAGGCTAAAGTAGAGAATCCTGCAGGCAGACTGCCTCCTAAGGGTGAGGACTTCAAGACTTGAGAACAGTCTATCTGAGCTAATTAGAGACTCAAGGGAAAGCTAGCCAAAAGAGGACTTTGCACAAGTCTGGGCCCATTAGACAGTAGAAAGCTGTGCTAGTCAAAACCACCCAGTGTGATTTTTCAGAATATATGTACATGCTAGCCTTATTGAAAGGAGGGCAGAGGTGGCTTGACATTTTGAAAGTTACCCCGAATTCTGGTAGAGCCTCCTCTCAACTAAGTCTCTAAGACTAGCAGGTAAGGACTGTGTCTTTTGCAGCACTTGACAGGTGGTTAGTGTTTGTTTGATGGCTGTCTTTGCTCTCTTATTTTTGGATTGTGACAGTGGTAAAATCATATTTGTATACTAAAGATGTAGCATTAGAACAGTGAATTAATAATTATGGCACAAGCTTGAGAGATAATGCAAAGGAAGAGTTCTAAAACCATCTGCTCAAAGTCAAGTCAGTAGTCCCCTCTTATCCCAGATTTCATTTCCTGAGGTTTCACTTATTCTCTGTATAGTACAATAGTTTTTTGGGTGTTTTTTGTTTTGTTTTGTTTTTTATTTTAGAGAAAATGTCTCACTCTACCACCCTTTAATTGTAGCTTAATTAATTTAACCTTTTAAGAGGCTCAGGAAAATAGCATCATATAATTTTAGAATGGAGAGGAACTTTACTATCTAGACAAAATCTTTCATGTTAAAGATGAGGGAACAGGACCCAGAGAGATTCAGTGACTTCTTGGTGGCACAACATGGACGCAACCCAGATTTTCAAAGCTGTAGTCAGTGCTTGTCCATAGCATCCCTCTGCCTCTTCTAGGTCTATAAGCTATTTTCTTTAGGTAAGCCAAAATGTTTGTATTTATGTGTATATTATAATATGATAAGGGTATTTTAAAAAATATATACCAAACCTATTACTTAATTATTGCTATTTCCTTCAAAGTAGTGATCTGGGAAGACTAAATTTCCTCCCTAATTCCCAGGGGATAACTTTCAAGACCCCCAGTGGATGTCTGAAATTGTAGATAGTACTGAACCAAAGTCACAGATGCTCAAGTCCCTTGTGAAATAGCATAGTATTTGCATATAATTCCTGTACATTCTCTAATACAGTGTCAATGTTTGTAACTATTATAGTTCGTATACTGTATTGTTTAGGGAATAACAATAAGAAAAAGTGTACAGGTGTAGTACAAATGAAACTGACTATACTTCTCATTTTTCCAAGTATTTTCAATCTACATTTGGTTGAAACTCTGAATGCAAAGCCCACAGATATAAAAGGCTGAGTGGGTACTATGTTTTTTCCTATGCATACATATCTATGAGAAAGTTTATAAATTAGGTACAATAAGAGATTTAACAGCAATAGTAGTAAAATGGAACAATTTTAACGATATGTCCCATTTCTTTCATTTGTGTTGCATTAATGCAAGTGTTTAAACTTACATTAAAAAATAAAAACGAAACTTACATAAAATAATTTATAGTATTTTGAAATTATCAATTTATTACAGTTATTTTGTTGTATATGTTTTTTCTACAGGTTGGACCAGTGGATCACATTGAATTGTCTTCTGGCCCTGAATTTGAAAAACCATTAGCTTCAAAAACCATTAGCATCTCTGAAGAAGGTTTGTGGGAAGTTCTGGGGCCTGGGACTGAAGGCTTGCTTTGGTTGATCAAAAGACAAGCATTTTTTTTTGGAGTGCCAGAAATAGAAGTACTTTTTATATGTGAGCTGAAGCTATCAACTCCCAAATTTTTAGATTAGGATTATTTTTGTGATGTGACTGGCTTTCACTTCAAGGCCATTTGTTCTGAGAAGCTGATTACCTCCTCTCCTTTTATAACAGCATGGGGCAGGGTGGCTTGGATCTTAGTTTCTGTGGCTTTCAGGCCTTTGGCCACACCCTGCTGGGGATTGCACAGAGGTAGTGCTGAGGTTTTTGTTTGTCGGTGATCAACAGCAGAGCTGGAATTTGAGATTCTGGTTAAATGGCCAGGCAATGATGAGGTAGTAAGTTTTTTCATTTCTTACCGGAAGAATTAAATTATATGTTGCCTGTAATCTCAGCAATCTGGGTGGCCGAAGTGGGTGGATTGCTTGAGCTCAGGAGTTCAAGACAACCTGAGCAAGAGTGAGACCCCCATCTCTACTAAAAATGAAAAATGGAAGCAAGAGGATTGCTGAGCCCCAGAGTTTAAAGTTGCTGTGAAATATGACACTATGGCACTCTACCCCAGGTGACTGAAACTCTCAAAAAAATTAAAAAAGAATTAAAGTAGTTAGGTTTTTACTTTATACTGACTGTATCTACAGTTGTTTATACCTGCATTTTCTTTCTCATTTTGTTTTATCAGCAGTTAGTCTTTTTTAAAAACCAGATTTTGTCTCGGTGCCTATAGCACAGTGGTTATGGTGCCAGCCACATACACCAAAGTTGGTGGGTTTGAACCCAGCTGGGGCCAGCTAACCAACAATGACAGCTGCAACAAAAAAATAGCTGGGCATTGTAGCAAGTGCCTGTAGTCCTAGCTACTTGGGAGGCTGAGGAAAGAGAATCGCTTAAGCCCAAGAGTTTGAGGTTTCTGTGAGCTGTGATGCAACAGCACTCTACCAAGGGGAACATAATGAAACTCTGTCTTAAAAAAATAAAGTTCATTGATTCTCTTTATTTCTTAATTTTCTTTTCTTTTTTTTTTTTGACAGGGTCTCATTAATTTCTATTATTAATAGAAATTACCCTTATTATTTCTTCTATTTTCAGATGGGCTTTTGGTTTTTTCCTGCCTTTGTTTTTTCTTTTTTTTTTTTTTTGCAGTTTTTGGCCAGGGCTGGGCTTGAACCCACCACCTCTGGCATATGGGGCTGGCGCCCTACCCCTTTGAGCCACAGGCACCGCCCCGTTTTTTCTTATTTTCTAATATGTGCATTTGAGGCTGAGTATGTCCTACATGGACCTCGACAAGAGGCTTGCCTGGTGGTGTTCAGATCTGTAGAGTTTGTAATTCATTCATAGATTCTAAAGAGTAATAGGTTTGGACTATGTTTTTGTAATTGATTTCCATTTTATCATATTATGGTCAGATGGTGTGTATGATACTTAGATACTTGTTACTTATCTTTGTTGCCTAATATGTAGTGAATTTTTATAAATGTTTTACACTTATTTGAAGAGAATAAACATTTTCTGTTGGCTATATGTAGAGTATATATATACTAAACACACACATACCTATCTCCATTTGGTTATGCTTCTAAATTGCATTGTCCAGATTTTCTGTATTTTTTCTGATCTTTCTGATTCTTAATCTGCTTGATCTATTCATTTCTCAGAAGGATACGTTAAAAACTATCCATAATATTCAGTAAACCATACTGAAAACAAAACAAAACAACAAAAAAAACTATCCATAATAATTGTGGAATTGTTTATTTCTCCTTGTAAATCTGTTAAATATTGCTTTGGATAGTGGAGGCTATAAACTGAATATAGTTCAGGATTATAATTTTCTTGTTAAAATTTTGTCCCTTTTATCATTAAGAAATGACCTTCTTTTTTTTTGAGACAGAGTCTCACTATGTTGCCCTAGGTGGAGTGCTGTGGCATCCCAACTCACAGCAGCCTCAAACTCTTAGCCTCAAGTGATTCCTTTGCCTCAGCCTCCCAAGTTGCTGGGACTACAGGCTCCCGCCACAACGCCCAGCTATTTTTTTGTTGTAGTTTTCATTTGGCAGGCCCGCGCCAGGTTCGAACCCGCTAGCTCCGGTGTTTGTGACTGGTGTCCTAGCTGCTGATCTACAGGCACCGAGCCAAAGCAATGACCTTCTTTATCCCCAATAATATCTTTTGACTTACAGTCAAATTTTTCTAATACAAACTTTACTATCCCTGTGTTCTTATGTCTCTTTTTTGATACTTTTAAAAAATTTTCATCATGAAAATTTCTGACATGTTTTAATAGAAGACAGAATAGTATAATTAACTTTTATATACTCAACAGCCAACTTTAGTAATTATCAACTCAGAGCTAATTCTTTTTTATCTATACACCCACCCACTCTTCCCACCTTTTCCTGGATTATTTTGAAGTAAAACCCATACAAGCACATTATTTTATCTATAAATATTTTATGTGTACTCTAAAACATGAAGTCCCATTTTTAATATAGGCATCATGTCATTGCCTAAAAAAATTCCTAATATTTTTATATATCTCTCTAATCAGAGTTCAAATGTTGTCAGTTGCCTCATGTAGACAGATCTTTATTCTAGAAGAGAGAGGGGTCTTGCTCTTGCTCAGCTACTCTTGAACTGCTAGCCTCAAGCAGTTTTCCCAACCCAATGTGTTAGGTAGGGTTGGTTATAGGCGTGATCCACTACATCTTTAAGGATTCAGTTTCTTTCTATGTTTAAGGATTCAGTTTCTTTCTTCCTTCCATTATTAGTTCTTTCACCTAGAGTCTGTGAGTGGTAACTTTTCTGTTTTTGAAAATAGCTTTAATTTTACTGTTATTCATGAACCATAGCTTATAGCTAAGTGCAGACTTCTAGGATGATTATCATTTTCAAATCTCAGCATTTTAAAAATATGTTATTTACTGACATCTGCTAAGTTTATACTACCTGTGTGCTATCAAGATAATTGCTTTTCTGGCTTGGCGCCTGTGGCTCAAGCGGCTAAGGCACCAGCCACATACACTTAAGGTGGCGGTTTCGAATCCCCAGCCCGGGCCTGCCAAACAACAATCATGGCTGCAACCAAAAAAAAAAAAAAAAAAATGGCCGGGCGTTCTGGCAGGTGCCTGTAGTCCCAGCTACTTGGGAGGCTGAGGCAGGAGACTCGCTTGAGCCCAGGAGTTGAAGGTTGCTGTGTGAGCTGTAATGCCATTGCACTCTACCCAGGGGGATAGCTTGAGGCTCTGTCTAAAAAAAAAAAAAAAAGATAATTGCTCTTCTTTTATCTCTGGTTGCTTACAAAATTTCTCTTTTTACTTTATTTTGCTTCTTTGATATAGTGTATCTAGGTATACATTTCTTTTTACTTATCTTCTGTTGGAGTAGGAAAGATTCTTTAGGTTGAAGACTTAACTTTGGGAATTTTTCATTCATAATTGTTTGGAATATTATTTCCTGCTCATTTATTCTTTTTGCACTTCCAATACCCAGTAGAGGTATGTTGGACCAGCTCAATCTATTCCCTATTGCTTTCAACGATTACTTCATAAGTTCCACCTCTTATCTTTCAGTGGTGTACTCAGGGTGATCACCTCAGATCTGTTTTCTAGTTTGCTAATTCTCTCTTCTGCTCTTTCATCTTTGCTGTTTCATCTGTTCATTATGATTTTAATTTTGGTGAGGACACTTTTAATAATGTAAAAGTTTTATTTTCAAATCTACAGGTTCTTTGGAAGCCTGTTCTATTGTGGTTTTTACACTTTATCTACTTTTTATTTTTAGTCATGTTTTATGACCAACCTTTCAGATTGCTTTCCTGGGTACACATTCTCAATTGTTGAATCTGTGTAGTAACTCTTCCTCAAGTATGATTATTCCTTGTGTATATATATAGCTTAGGATGCTCTGGTGTTACAGCTCACAGCAACTTCAAACTCAGGCTCAAGCAGTCCTCTTGCCTCATTTTTTCTATTTTTAGTAGAGACAAGGTCTTGCTTTTCCTCAGGCTGGTCTCGAACTCGAGAGCTCAAGCAATCCAGAGTGCTGGGATTACAGGTATGAGCCACTGTACCTAGCCTATCTTTATTTATTTATTTATTTATTTATTTATTTTAAGACTGTCTCACTCTGTTGCCTAGGATAAAGTGCTATGGCATCAGTCTAGCTTACGGTAACCGCAAACTTAGGGATTTAAGTGCTCCTCCTGGCTCAGCCATCTGAGTAGCTGGGACTACAGGCACTCACCACAATGCCCACCTAATTTTTCTATTTTTAATAGAGATGGCATCTCACTCTTACTCAGGCTGGTCTCAAATGCCTGAGCTGTGAGCCACTGTGCCTAGTCTGATTTTATAATTTTTTTAATCATGAGCTTTAGTGGAGGTTCTTCTACATTATCTAAGGTATGACAATTAAGTTCATGAATTCATTTTTAAGAAAGTGCTACATGCCTCCTTCCTGATTATTACTGTGGTCACTTTTGAAGTACTCCCCTTAGGAAGTTATGCACTCATGCCAGCACCTGGAACTCTTGGAACTCTTTTTCTGGAATGTCCATCAGAGCTGTTATTGTATTACTTTGTTGTCCTGAATGTCATCAAAATGTCTTCCTTTCAATATTTCCTTTGTCTTTGGGCAAAGAAAAAGGTCTCTGGGGCAGGTGAGTTGGGTAAGTGTTCTAATATGGTTATTTTTTTACTGGCTAAAAACTCCCTCACAGACAGCACCCTGTGAAGTGGTGCCTTGTCATGATGCAAAAGTCATACCTTTCTCATGCCAAGATTTTCAGTGAACATTTTCCTGTTTTCTCTATCAATGTTTACTTGGTGCTGTGCTTCTCACAGTCAGCTGATGATTTTGGTGAACAATTCAATGAATTTTTGCAGTGTTTTCATGGGTTCTGCTTGTTTCTGGCCACCCTGGCCTCTCTTCATTAGTGACACTTTTTCTCCCCTCAGGAAAATATTTTATCCATTTGTACATGGCCATTTTCTTCATGGCATTATCCCCATAAAATTGGACTCACACATCCCTAATTTCACTTCCGTTCTTGGCATTTTTTTTTTTTTTTTGAGACAGAGTCTCACTTGGTCAATCTTGGTAGAATGCTATGGCACCGTAGCTTACAGCATCCTAAAATTCTTGGGCTCAAGCAATTCTCTTGTCTCAGCCTCCCAAATAGCTGAGACTAAGGCACCCACCACAATGCCTGGCTATTTTTTAGACATTGGATCTTGCTGTAGCTTAGGCTAGTCACAAACATGTGAGCTCAGGCAGTTCACCCACCTGGGCCTCCCAAGTGCTGGAATTGCAAGTGTGAGCCACCACACCCAGCCAACTCTTGCCACGTTTAAGAAGAAATTTAATGTTTGTTCACTGCTCTAATTCAAGCTCCAACATTCTTGTGACAGCACACAAAAACATGCAACCATAATGAATGTCTCTCAGGAAGACCCTACCACACATTGACACATACACAGCTATGAGATACTGATATACTAAGGTTATGAAACCTTGCTGAGTTGTTCATACAGTGCTGCCAATGTAAGTTTACAGTGGCAAGTTTGGTATTTTTCTTGTCAATCATATATGTTTGGAATGATTTTGCATTTCTTGTTGTTGTCATTGAAATAAAGAAAAATTGAGGTGGCAAATGTTAATATAAATTTCTTGGGTTGAAGTTGCTATACTATACAGATAATATAAATTTAGGCCCTGCACCTGCTTTTGGCAAGCCAGGGGGTTTGAATTCTTAAAGGTGACTTTTATTATTCTCTCATCTATTGTCCAGGCAGAAAGAAAACTTCTTTGCTGTTTCTCCGTGATAGGGACTTTCTTATTCCCATTTTATGGACAAAAGTCTTTTAATGCTTTCCCGGCCATATGAAATCTGCAGAAATCACATCTCCTACTCCCTTATAGAATATTCTAGCATCATTGCCCAATTACTGCTCCAGCTTTGAGTTTTTTTCTTTTCTGACACCAGGGGATTTCTCTACTTAGCAGGCCTGGTTGTGTTTTGAACTTCTTGCGGTAATTTAGCATTTCTAGGTTTTTCTGGCAGGGCATGGGCCTGTGCACTTAGCTCAGTCTGCCAGGATTCATGAAGTTGATAACACATTTTTTCTTTTTTTTACCATGAGTGAGTTTTAACTTTAGATTTCATTTTAAGTTAATTCATTATATAGTAGAAAGCTATCAGAATATGTTGGGAACTTCTAATGTATCTGTGTTGTCATGTATAAATGTTAGCAGTTGTTATCTTTTCCATGTGAATTTTTCCTCTACTATTTTCTTTTAATTTAATATATACTCTTGAATAGTACATTTTTTGACTCCTGTGGATGAGGAAGATGGAAGTGACAAAGAGGAGACTTCGGAAGTTGAATTTTCAGTGACAGAAAATCTCTCTGGTCAGAAAACCTATGTGTTTCCTACTGCTGATTCGGCTGTCAGCCTTTCCAGTGACCAGCACATCTCTACTCCTGGTATAGTTCTTCACTTTTTTCATTTACACATACTCTGAGTTTCCATTATAAAATTACTGAACATTATTTATAGGGAAATATAGTTATGAGAAGTTTGTGAAGTCATTACTACAAGTTTGAATTTTAATTAGAAAGCAAAATAACAGGATAACAGGTATCATTTTTTAAGCCTCTACCATATGCTAGACAATACTATTTTAAATGCATGAACCCTGGTTTAAACCTGACCTATGAGGTAGATAGGTATTATTATTATTATCATCATCTCCATTTTACAGTATATTTCGTATATTGAGACTTAGAAAGGTTTATTGCCTTTTTTTTTTTAATTGTTTAGAATTCATTGAAGGTACAAAAAATTAGGTTACTCTGATTGCAGTTGTTAGGCAAAGTTCCTCTTGTAATTGTGTCCCACCCCCCAAAAGGTGTGACATACACAGTGACCCTCATTTCCCTTCTTCCTTCCCTCTCTGCCTGATCCCTCATTCCCCTACCCAACCCTTCTATTAGATCATCTACTGCCTTCATATTAGAATTGAGTACAGTTGGATTCTTGCTTCTCAAATCTTGTGATGCTTTACTAAGAAGATTGTATTTTACCTCCAGATGATGTAAAGTCTCTATCTTTTTTAATGGCTGAATAGTATTCCATTGTATACATATACCACAGCTTGTTAATCCATTCCAGGGTTGGTGAGCATTTAGGCTGTTTCCACATTTTGGCTATTGTAAATTGAACTTCAATAAACAGTCTAGTGCAAATGTCCTTATGGTAAAAGGACATTTTTTCTTATGGGTGGATGCCTGGTGATGGGATTGCAAGATCAAATGGAAAGTCTAGTTTGAATTCTTTGAGAATTCTGCACACTTCCTTCCAAAAAGGTTGTATTAATTAGTTTGCAGTCCCACCAGCAGTGTAAAAGTGTTCCCTTCTCTCCACATCCATTTCACATCTACAGTTTAGACATTTGGCGATATGGGTCCATTCTCACTGGGGTTAGATGATATCTTAGGGTGGTTTTGATTTGCATTTCTCTAATAATTAGGGATGAAGAACTTTTTTTTTTTTAATGCTTGTTAGCCATTCCTCCGTCTTCTTTTGAGAAGGTTCTATTCATCTCTTTTGCCCAGTGATCTAATCCTCAAAGAAAGCATGGGAAAAACACTTGAAGATATTGGCCTGGGGAAAGACTTTATGAAGAAAACTTTTGTGGCAATTGCAACAACAATAAAAATAAACAAATGGGACTTAAGCTGAAAAGCTTCTGTACAGCTAAGGAGACAACAACCAAAGCAAATAGACAACCTACCCAATGGGAAAGGATATTTGCATATTTTGAATCAGACAAAAGCTTGATAAGAAGGATGTACAGAGAACTCAAATTAATCAACATAAAAAGAGCCAAAAATCTATTCTTGTGATACTTTACTTTGGAGAATATTCTCCAGATCCATCCAAGTTATAAGAAAGGATACAAAATCTTTCTTTTTGTGGCTGTATAGTGTTCCATGGTATATTTATACCATAGTTTATTAATCTATTCATGTGTTGAAGGGCACTGGAGTTGCAGTTATAAATTGGGCTCCTATAAACATTTGAGTGTATATAACCTTATGGTGAAACAACTTTTTTCATTTTGGATAGATACCTAGCAATGGGATTACAGGATCAAATAGAAAGTCAATTAATGACAGTTAATGACACAGTGGGGGAAGAGGAGAGGAAAAAAAATAAATAAAGTCTACTTTTAGGTCTTTAAGGACTCTCTATACTTCTTTGCTGTACTAGCTTTGTTTTTTTTTAGTGAAACAAAGTCTCAGTTTGCCACCCTCAGTAGAGTGCCGCTGTGGTGTCATAGCTCACAGCAACCTTAAACTCTTGGGCTCAAGCAATTCTCTTACCTCAGCCTCCCTAGTAGCTGGGACTATAGGCACCTGCTATAATGCCTGGCTATTTTGTTTGTTTGTTTGTTTGTTTGTTTAGCAGAGCCAAGCCAGGATCAAACCCACCAGGCCCAGATCTTCTGGCTGGTGCTCTGACCACTTAGCTACAGGCACCCTGTACTAGCTTTTTGGTTGGTTTTTTTTTTTTTTTTTTGAGACAGAGCCTCAAGCTATCCCCTTGGGTAGAGTGCCATGGCATCATGCTCACAGCAACCTCCAACTCCTGGGCTCAAGCGAGTCTCCTGCCTCAGCCTCCCAAGTAGCTGGGACTACAGGCGCCCGCCACAGCGCCCAGCCATTTTTTGGTTGCAGCCATCGTTGTTGTTTGGCGGGCCCGGGCTGGGGATTCGAACCTGCCACCTTAGGTGTATGTGGCTGGCGCCTTAGCCGCTTGAGCCACAGGCGCCGAGCCAAGCTTTTTGGTTTTTGTTTGTTTTTGAGATGGAGTCTCACTATGTTGCCCTTGGCACAGTGCTGTGGCATCACAGCAACCTCAAACTCTTGGGCTTAAGTGATTCTGTTGCTTCAGCTTCCCAAGCAGCTGGGACTACAGGTGCCTACAATTCCCAGCTATCTTTTGTTGCAGTTGTCATTATTGTTTAGCTGGCCCAGGCTGGGTTCAGACCCACCAGCTTCAGTGTATGTTGCTGGCTCCGTAACACTGTGCTATGGACACTGAGCCGTGTACTAGCTTCTTAAATTAGGATACAAGAGGAGAAATGGCAATAAATGGTGTAACACATATAAAGATAGGCAAATTCAGGCTTGGCGTGGTGGCTTACGCCTATAATCCTAGCATTCTGGGAGGCCAAGGCAGGTGGATTGCTTCAGCATAGGAGTTTGAGACCAGGGTGAGTAAGGGTGAGACCCCATCTCTAAAAAAAAATGGAAAAATTAGCTGGGCATTGTGGCAGGCACCTGTAGTCCCAACTACTCAGGAGGCTGGGATAAGAGGATCAGTTGAACCTGGGAGTTTGAGGTTGCTGTGAGCTATGACTTCACAGCATTTTACCCAAGGGAACAGAGTAAGACTGTCTCAAAATAAATAGATAAATAAATAAAATAAAGATCGATAAATTCAAATGCTTTTCTCTGATACTGAATGTATGATTATAAATTTTGAAAAAAATACCTACATTGTTATTTTTTAACAAAGTATAGAATTTATAAGCCCTAATGGGTATTCTTCTGAATTTTTTTTTTATTCATATAAGGGTACATATGATTAGGTTATGTTGTTTATATTTGTTAGGTAACATCTGAGTTGTAATTGAGTCCTTCACCTACGAGCTGTGCCATGTGTCCCTACATTGTAGGTTAGGTGGGAGCTTACTAAGCCCCCTCCCTCTTCTGAGTGTTTTTAATAGTGGCAAATAATTTATTCACAGAGCAGAGATTGAATTTTTGCTAACAGACAAAAGTTATTCAGGGGCTCTTTTGGTAAATGAAATAAGTGACTAGAGTGAATGTCATTGTTTCAAATTAAAAATAAGCAATTGTGGTTATCAAGGAATAAAGTTGATTCTTAATAAATTGTCTGTGAAGGCAGTCCCAAAGGAAATGTTCCAAAAATGGTTTGAAAATGAAGGAAGGATATAGTCTCCCTCCACACCTACTTTTAACAGTATTTATTTGGATGTAATACCTTTCAACTCTTTGATAAAAGAAGTCATTTTCATAGTAGTCACAGTTTTTATATCTGCCAAATCTCTACTTTCACCATTAGTTTTCTTTCTGTAGTTGAGGCTTTTCTTAACAATAACTGTATTGTTAAGGGATTACAATAATTAGGATTATTGTCAGGGATTAAGAGTACTAAATTCTTTCATGTAAAACAGTTTATCTTCAAACACGAAGTGATTTAGTTAAATTACATTTGTTTTCAAAGTGCTCTGAAGTTCTGCAAAAGGATAGTCTCCTTTAGCAATAGCGATTAGAAGTATTGAACTTGCCTAGGTTTGACAAAGTATGCAAAGGTTTGGAGGTACTGTGGCCATAGGCTAGTGGTCATTGGTCACTTCTGTTTGATGACTGACACTTCATACTTTACCCTGAGAGATCTCCATCGTTGAGGAATCCTCACTGACTTCCCCTTATGCAGCCCAGCTGGTATTGGAAGAGAATCCTTCCCGTCTTTTTCATGAATAGCCAGCAGGGGCTACTCACACACTGATAGAAAGTGTCTCTCAAATGGACCTTCTCTTTTTCGAGTATATGGTTTCTCCTGAGCAAAAGCTCTAAGACGTAGTATTACTAACACTAGTACTAGTATTGTTATTACTATTGTTATAATCTCAGTTTTATGTAAGTATTTCCCTCTTAGTTAAATTTCATTAATTGCTATTAAGAATTCACAAATGCGGCTCGGCGCCTATACCTCAACCGGCTAAGGCGCCAGCCACGTACACCTAAGGTGGCGGGTT